AACTCTCTATGAATTATGGAGAGATAAAAAAACTCACTGTCTCGCACTCTAAAGTGTTCGAGTGTAAATATTTTATCTCGAGAGAGAAAGATGTCTTTTGAAAGTGTGATACAAAATATAATGAAAGCATTTTTCTTTGTTTTTCAATGATCAAAGTTTCTATGGTCGTAATATATATATATATATATATATATATATATATATATATATATATATATATATATATATATATATATATATATATATATATGTATATTTATATATATGTATATATATATATATATTATTATTATATTTATTAAACTCAAATAGAAAAGAATAAATTAGGAAATTATCTTTATGAATCCCCTAAATTGAGAGTTCAATTGGTATCTTCTCCGACTAGTTGAAGACTCAATAAATTTTTTTATTTTTTTAAATTAATTTTATTTATTTATTAATTTAAATATCGAAGAAATCGGATATACTTAATCAAAGCTGCTTGCCCAACCGCTTCAGTCCAATTCGAGGACGTGTGATAAGCTTAGATACGAGATTAAAGTTGGCTAGCAAATTTGAATATAAAATCTTTAATAATCATCTTTAGTTTTATGATAAATATTGTTTCATTAAATCAATGGGTGAGACACGATCTTATTTATAGTCGATCTCCGCCGCGGTGTTCACGATAGCTGGATGATGGCTGGCTGGGTGATCCAGTCTGGTAGCCGGTCATGGCGCGTGTAGAGAGAGAAAGTACGATACCGATAGCTTCCAAGGGTGAGAGCAGCCAGCAAGGAAGACATCAAGATCCGAGCTTAGTTTCTTCCTCGGTTCTATTGCTTGCAGAAGTACACATCGAAGAGAGAGAGAGAGAGAGAGAGAGAGAGAGAGGCTGCGAGAGCAAGACGAGCCAGTAAGGAAAACATCAAGATCCGAGCTTAGTTTCTCCTTCGATTCCATTGCTTGAAGTACGCATGGAGATTGAGCGAGAGAGAGAGAGAGAGAGCACATGGGAGTGGTTGGCTGCACGCCGCGGCGGAGCAAAGAGAGGGTTGTCGTTTAGGACGCGGCGTGGGAGATGCAGTACGGCCGCGCCCGTGCGCCCACGTTCTCTTGCCCGCTCCCCACATGGCAACGCCTGAGCTGATTTGGATTTGACGGATAGATTGGTCCGATCCCATGGGCGACATCATCATATATGGGTCCGACCACGCCACGTTCCACCGACCACAGTTCCAGTTGGCTCACTTGTCCTTGCTCCCTAAAAGGACCACCCCGTACGGCTCAACCTCATCCCTCCTCCATTTATTTATTTCCAATTTATACATATATATATATATATCATAATAAAGCATAATAATAAAACTTGAATTTGATACCGGAAAAATCGAAAACAGATATTGACTAATTTATTTTTTTTATTATAAAGATAAAAAAAAAATATATTATTATATCTATTACTCTCTCAGACCATGTTCTCTTGCCGTTTTGTTCCTAGTATCTCCTCTCACAAATTACTATTAATCTGTGAGGTGAAATATAATAAATAATCAATGACTCTAACAAGTTAATCCAAGTACTGATAATAAAGGTCGTCTTCCTAACCAATGCACGAAAGGGGTTCATTTACATTCTCCTGGTTTATAACTTGTCACATGCAGTTCATGGATCTTTGTGGCGCATCTCAACAATTCAAGAAATCAACACTGATACAAAAACTTCTGTTTTCTGAGAAGTTTGTTCGGTAACAAGATATAATCGCCTGTCTGATTCAGCACATATGGAAAGCATTACAAAACAGTAGCTGTATCAAAAACCAAATCTTCAGGAATTATCAAAACTTCAGTGAGCAACCAAGCTACCTTTCCAACTCGGTGTGGAGGCTTTGAGATTCTTGATCAGCCACATGCATCTCAATATCTTGCTAGCCGGCATTTGAAACTAGGAAGTAGCTGATGCCAAAAAAGGCATCGATCATCATCCTGATGAAAAAAAGAAAACAAATCAATCACTTCAAGTGTCAGTAGGGCTCTTACAACTTGCAATTCAGACTTTCACATTGAATTGTCATGGTCACTCTTAATCATCATGATCATAATAAAGAATAAAGAACATAATAAACTAGTTCTTGTTTGCACACAAAATGTAACATCCCATATTTATAAAAAAAATAAACTATTGTTATACAAGACTCTTTTTTTCTTATCTTTGAATCCAAAATCTATCCTTATGACGCTAAATATTTTTTTATTAAAAAGTTTATATCTTTTTTACGGACATAAGTTACTAAAAAGTCTCCTCTATCCGAGTCTTAGATATATTATAAAGCAATAGTTTACTCTGAAAATAAAAATAAGATAAAAACACAATAGCAACCAATATACGGGTAGAAACATAAAAAAAAAATCATACAAATAATCTTCAATATTCTTAAGATATGTACAAATATTAATAATTTAATATAAAATGATAATATATCAATCCATTATAAAACTTGTATATCAGAAAAACAATGATGATTCTTATGCTATAAACAAAGTCATGCATCAGTTGTATAATACACATCTCAATGACATACATAATAGTTAGATAACAAACACGTATATCATACTCGATGGTGTACTATCCTAACAGCAGATGGAGATATATATTTTACGTGATGAATTCCTCCCAACGAATGGAGAGACTCCATATCGCACTCCCAATAGTGGATGAAGAGATATCCCTCACCAGCTCAAGTGAGGACACGTTTCTCCCAACAGCGAATAGAAGAACCGCCTAACCATTATGTCTAATTACCCGCTAATCCCTGAAGGGAATCACCTTGCCTGCCCTCGGCAAGGATACACAGTTAACCATGATCATTCATTTACATTCATTTATGTATGCATCCAAAAAATAGTATGATAAAATATTATAATAGACGACACTTAATGTATAGTCTACTAAACTATGTCTATTGGTGGCTCCGCACTTTGATGGACCCGCAGCTTCTTTCACAGATTGCACTTCCAACATGGAGTACTCAGTATACCCATCTATACAACATGATAACAATCACATCAATATTATCAATTTAATAAAAAAAAAGAAGGAGAAAATCAATAATCATTTCAAAAAGATATATTCAAATAAAACTTTTAAGTTCATTTAATCATAAAGACATGAGCATCAATCTCTCAGTAGTCCTCAATCAGACAGAATCCTAATTGGAATAATCCAATCGACTTAAACCAAGCTCAATTCAATTAGGACCTAATGAGACCAACATCAAATCGTTATAGATATGATCAGAAATCACCCTAGACTAATCTAATTAGATTTGATTGATTTACGTCCAGTAGGCTTGAATTAGTCAAGTTTGTTTGGAATTGCCCTGAACCAGCTTAAACCAATCAAACATGTCTGATTTAGTCAACTAACAAACTCAAACCAATAAAGGAAGAGGAAATTAGATTATATCGCATAGTGCTAATCCAAATCGAACCAACTCACCTGAGCCTTGGACGGATCACGTGCGTTGCAGATGCCTGTTCCACGTAACAAGTTTGGTTGAGGTGCAATGGGCTGAATAAAGGGATGGCGATGTGTCTAATGACAATTGCATATCTGGGCGAGCCTAGCTTTACGAGTTGAGCTGAGCTTCACTCACGAGTTAGGCTTAACCTTACAATCGAATTAGGCCACGCTTGGTTTGCAGGTTAGATCGTGCCTAATCACATGCCTGGCCACATAAGCTGAATCGTGCTTGGTCACATGAGTTGGGTCGTGCTTCGCCACATGGGTTGCATCGTACCTGGCTATATGGGTTGCGTTATGCTTGGCCACATGGGCTGGGTTATGCCTAACCACACGAGTTGGACTATACCTGATCACATGGGCTGAGTTATGTATGACCATATGGGCTGGGTTATACTTGATCACATGTGCTAGGTCGTATTTGGCCACATGAGTTGGTTTGGTCAATCAGGTTAACTAAGGTCAAACCCTAATTTGACCCCTCTTACTAAATTATATTTTAATATTTTCAAAAAGACTTTAAAATATTATAAAATAACAATTAACCTTAAATCCATTCTTTTTCATGAATTAACTAATTTAGATTATGATTTCAAATTTAAAACTAATTAAATTATAAAAATTTACACATAATTCCTTCACATAAATATGTCTAATTAAATGAATTAGAACTATTATTGAATTAATGAATCATTCTAACATCATAATTCAATGATCATTATTTATTAATAATATAATTTTAAAATTAAAACATTATCATACATCACATAAATTATAGCAATTCTAATATCAAATATTTTAAAATATAAATAAAATCTGATAAGAAAAAAAATAGAGGAACCTATCTCTCCTAAGGGATCCTCTTCTTCGAGAATTCTATCATTGCCGGGCTCGATGAGGAATGAGAGAAGGGGAGCCCCCTAGAGAATATTAGCTCTCCCCAAAAGATAAATAATAATTTAATTTTTATTTTTAATTTATTTTTATTTTACATTCGCACACAAAGATAAAATTATAATATTTATTTCTTATAGTTCATAAAAAAATAGAATTTAAACTATTTACTTTCTAAAAATCACATCACTCGTTAGGAAATAAATTAATTAATAATTTAATTAACTAACAAAATTCCTAACTTGTCCACATGATTAAGGAAATCAATTTAATCATTTTATTATATACTACACAAACAAGGAAGTTAATAATTTAAATAAAGCAACACATTATTTATGATAATTTAATTTATGTTAAGGAGAAAAAAATCATCAATGATTACACAAAATAATAATACTTAAAATGTTACTCTAGAAACAAAATTGCCAACAATTCTACAACAACCATGAAGAGTTGATTCCCCTTTGAAAATCAATATAACATATCTTTCTGTATGTAAATGACAGCTTTTGCAATAACAAAAATCCATGGGCTTTTGTCTCTACAAGGGAAAATGGTTATAAAATACTTTTTGGCAAGCATTCAGGTATATGCACCACACTTGGGAGCCTTTGAGTATAAAGTTATTAGAGATCTTTCCTTTGTCCCAATATGAAACATAATCTATCTTGTGTCACTTGCAGAAGTTGAGATCAACCAACTCCCTATTGGATCAGTTCTGGATTCACAAAAAAGCTTTTGGCTTATCACATCAAATAATGTATATTCTCCACAGTCTAATGAGAGACCCGGCTCAAATTAACCTTATGACTGTAGCTTCAAAGCAATATGTAATTCTGGCTTTCTTTATCTAATATAATGGTGATAACAAAATGTACAGTCTCAATATAGAGATGACCACAGCGAATGAAGGATAAGTTCACAGTGAAGGGTGTAGAATCCATGATCTTTTTTCAGTTTAAGACAATCCTAAACAAGCAAGCTTGCAAGTCAATTTGATGACCTGACACAGTAGCTAAAACTTGAAGTCAAACTCAATTTGATCCAATGAATGTAGCAGGTGAAGAAGACTAATATTATGCAAATTGATCAGTAGTCTATTAGTTGAAGTAAGGATTTGAAACCCAGCCAGACTAGTCGATATCAACTGGCATACAGTGATCCAATTGGAACCAGAACAGATACCAGGCATTTCACCCAGTATCGGTTCACACAATGGATACAGCCTGTTTTTGATTGGTATCACAAGGTGTGGTAGGCATTATCCTACACCCCTATACCATTGTCCCACTTGTTTGTCTTCTTTCATCCCCTCTTTATCCTCCATTCTTCCACCAGTAGCACTCTTCCTTATTCTCTTGATTTTTCTGTTTTTTTCTTCAAAATTATCCCCGTTTTCTTCAATTGTCTATAAAGAAGCTTGGATTTAGAGCTCTTTTGTATAACTACAGAGTGAATTTCTTTTTATGAAACTTGTTCTTTGGTAGATCCAAACTTTCCTAAACATTTTTATGATATAATTTGTTGAACATGACATATTTAGTACATGTTTCTTCTTTTCTGTAGGAAGAGATCACAAAGTTCTTAAATGTTGTAGATTAGTATTTCAGTCAAAGTCATGTCTACAACAATCATCCAATAAAATTTTCATTCTAAACCTACGGTTGCAATTTTTTACATGAAATAATAAATTTATTATGCATAGGACTAATAACCTGAAATTGTATGAAAGTGTTATGTATTGCAGAATTAAAATGAAAACAGAAAATACATATTGATAAAAACTGCTAAACAAATTATGTGCCACGAAACTTGATTATAGGGTCTTCAAATAATCAATCATCGACATACATGTCTGAGGTCAATTCTCTACCATCTAAATACGACATTATTTGTGTTCATGAGCTCAACAAGCCAGACTGTAGTGCTCGTGCTACATGCAATAGAATATAGGTTGTACCAATCTATGCACAAAAAAGATACTACATATTTGTCGAAGCAATTCACAGATGAGTTCCTGAAAGGGATATCCAAGTAAAGAAAAGTCCATATAATACAACACCACACAGGTGGCTTGCTTAGCAAGATATAACAGGAACTAGGGAGCTTCCATAGGCTGGAACAAATTGTTGAACTCTTACATTTAGGCATTTCATGTGAGAAGATAAGAATTTGACTACAAATTTCGAGCACTAAAGGACAGAAGGCATGATTAGAAAATGCAGATGCTATTATAGCTAGAGACAGGTCATGATAGATTTGAGAATATGCTAATGACAAAAGGCAAAAGGTGGAAGGTTCCTATTATTTGTATTTTAAGGCATGCTAGATTTACATTTCCAGCATCCCTGTATGTACAGTGTTCACAATCAGAGGTCAAGATTTCTATCCCCAATTCACCACGCATAGCAACCATGGAGATAAACAAAATAGTACTTTTTGGCAAATCTGAAATAGCTGCCCTATTCTTCCACACGTGTTCATGCAACATCAATGCTCTTTATATTCGTCAAGAACATGGAATGTCCATCGATACATCTCAGTTCTTATACAACAATTTTACGCAGAAGGGAACTACGATGATAAGAACCGAATTTTCAAGAACATTAAAAGGGGAAATAACCTAACCCTCATTACCTGTAAGGAAGCAAGCACGACCATAGTCCGCCTTGTGAACTCGAAGGACATCATCCACGCTACTGAGCCAAAGAAGGCGCTAGTTCATCTCTGCCAGAAGCTCGCCACCGAGAGCAAAGATGAAGAAGGGATGAAGCGGGTGGCGGTGGCTGACGTCTGTTTCTTGGGAAAGAGGAGCCTCAGAAGGTTCGTGACGCCACTGACGGAGAACTGCAGCAACGGCGGGGCTCTCCTCGCATCTCGCCGAGAGGTGGAGCAGCGAATGGTGTGAGCCCGCCTAAGGAAGGCCAACAAAATCGTAAATAGAGGTAGCCGTTTTCCAAAAAGCCCCGTAACATGTTGGTATTTTCATCGATTAGGGCTTTATATTTTATACATTTTCAATTACAGCCCAAAATATCTACTATATGACCATCATACCCCCAGTACGGCCTAAGCCGGTTCGGTCAGAAAAGTGCTCGAAGCAACAACTGAGACATGCAACTTTTCGAAAAACCCCCTAGTCGTTGGTTTCTCGACCAATTAGATCCTCATTTTGGCTTTTCAAATTTCCATTTAAAACCGTAACCTATATAATTTGACTCTCATACCCTCAGAACGGTTTAAATCTCTCACTAAGTGGTTCATGTAAAACCGAACCGAGCCCAACCCGGGCGGAAGCGGAAAGCTCGGTCTTCCAGCCTGCAAACGCAGGGAACACCGATGCAAGCAGAGTCCCGTCGTCAAATTCCCGACCCAAATCGCAGCGGCGGAGAATATTAGTTGCAAGAAGAAGAAGGGGATCAAATCCAAGGTAGAGAAAGAAGACCGAGATCGAGGAGAGATCGCCGCGGCGGCGCCGGAAGGAGCCCCATCGATCGATCGTAGGGCGTGGAGATGCTGCCGCACGGCGACGATGAGGAGAAGTGGCTGGCGGAGGGCATCGCCGGCATCCAGCACAACGCCTTCTACATGCACCGCGCCTTGGTTGGAACCCAATCCCGTTACGATGCCTTAATTGCTAAACCTAACCTTCACCATTCGCCCAACGTTATTCTGCTTCTCGTCTGACCCCGATCTTCTATCCTGTGTTAGGATTCCAATGACTTGAAGGATGCGCTCAGGTACTCGGTGCAGATGCTATCGGAGCTGCGGACCTCTCTGCTCTCCCCGCACAAATACTACGAGCTCTGTGAGTTGGGATATCTATTTGATCTTGCTTGTAGTGAATGCTGCTTGTGTAGAAGCTGGATCTTAATGTGTTTCTTTTCCGGGGACTGGGAAGATATGAGGGCCTTTGATGAGCTGAGGAAGATGGAGATGTTCTTCCGGGAGGAGACGGCACGCGGCACCATCTCCGTTATCGAGCTGTATGAACTCGTTCAGCACGCAGGCAACATCTTGCCCAGGCTGTAATGTCTATGAACCCTGCTCCGTTTCATTGCTTTTGTTGTCTATTTTTTGCTGATCAATTGAATGACATAATTGTCGAAAATTATTGGCTACCTTTACTTCACAATAGTTGTGCTGAGTTGGAGTTGGAATACTTCTTTCTTAATTGCTCATTATTTGCAAAGAACTTGAGCTATAATGCACCAGGTAAATCATGCAATGAGAAAATAGTTTTGTCACCTAATGCCTGTTTAAGATTGTTGGCGAGTATTTGGTTGGATAATTGACACTGATTTATTGTTTACTGGATTGATTAAGTATTATTCATGAGCAAGCATAAGATCTTGATTTTTGACTAATAAAAGTAAACCAATTCATTGGTTTCAAATGACTCCTAAATCATCATGCCCCAAGGGCATCGGAGATTATTAACAATTATATCACCTTTAGGTGCTCATTGAAAGCATAGATTGTCTCGCATCTGGTAAGCCATCATAGATTTAAAAAGTCTCGCATCTGACAGGTGCATGATTTTTTACTTCTTTCCATAAGATGCCCAAGTTGCATGATTATATATGTCATTGAGAGGATACACTGCTCTTTCATATCACCAACGTATTCTGAGATTTTGCTACTTTTCACTTCCTTGCTGCAGGTCATAATCGAAATTTTTGCCATTCTGCTCATGCTCACAATTCACTGTTGCATTGTCATACATTATTTGACTGAACAAAGCTCTTAAGTGCCTAGATAAACACACTTTGATCTTCATGTTTCATCAGCTTCTTATATCCAGGACTTGTAGATGGAGTACCTAAAGCTAAGATGTTGCTGCATGTAAGTAGTAGAACCCCAATCTTGTCAACTATTCATATACCTCTGTTCTAAATGGAGGGAAAACTCGATTAGATCTTCAACTTGGATACTTCTTGAGATAAAAGAAATGGTTTGTTAATGAATTAAAGAAGAGTCAGATATGAAACTTGAATTAAGCAATCATTGCAAGAATATGGTATGGACCAAAAAAACTATGATGTTTCTGAAGCACAACTCCATAAGAACAAATCAAATCGGTAGGCTATGAAGGGGGGTTCATGAGTATAAACCAGGACCACCTAGGGATGTAGGATCACATTTAGGGGTTATCATGTCTTTTGATGATTATTCTGATGGAGAACAAGAATGCTGAACTCTTCTTGGATCAAATTTGCCAATTTTAATGAGTAAAAGCAAGGTGACTAATAGGATGATAGATTAAACTCCTGGTAGTTGTTATCTCTTTAGCAAATGGACATCAGTGTTTGGTTTCCTAGGATTTACCAGTACTTGAACCGAGATCTAGATAAGATGGTGATTGATTTTTTGGTTCCCAAAATGGATCAACAGGTTTAAAATATGAAAAGCCGGAAAAAAAGATAATTTGTTATGGAAGCAGCAGATAAGGCTTTAGAGGGTCTCTTCTATATAAATGAACCACGTGAGAACTAATAAGTTCTACTGATCTACCTCTAAACTCAGAGTTAACTAGCATTGGCTGCCTTTTAAGTTATTTTCTTTGGAAATTTTTTTCACCAAACAATGATTTTTGGAGGGTTATATTCAGTTTCAACACTTTTCAGAAACCATACCAGAAAATACTAGATGAATGATTGTTGGATCACTTGTAAGCTCATTTATCTCTTTCTTTTCCTGTTCTTGTTAACATTATGGTTAACACACAAGTGGAAATTTTTTTTGTAATGAATCATTCTTAATCTTTAAGAAGTTAAAGTGATCAAATCACAAGTAGTTCTCTGGCTACAGTGGTCTTTTGTTCATAGAGGTCCATTTCAAGATCTATTACTGTTTTCTCATATATTTCTTCTATATGCTCTTCTTCATTTGCTGACCCTGATTCATTTCTGATGTTTTTGTAATGAAGCTTTCTTATTTTTTAAGAAGTTAAAGGTGATAAAATCACAAGCAGATCTCTGGCTACAGTGGTCTTTTGTTCATAAAGATCCATTTCAAGATCTATTACTGTTTTCTCATATATATCTTCTCTATGCTTTTCTTCATTTGCTTACCCTGATTCATTTCTTTCTTTCACTATGTTATTGCTGAAGTTCAATTTTTCTGTTTATCTGCAATGGTTTGGCTGGTTATTATTGATGTGATGTATTCTGTATATTTGTCTCATCCACATGATTGAAGTTCAGGTTGTCAATTGACCAGGTATCTCCTATGCACAGTAGGATCTGTTTACATCAAGTCAAAGGAGGCTCCTGCAAAGGATGTTCTTAAGGACCTTGTAGAAATGTGCCGTGGTATTCAGCATCCTGTACGTGGGCTTTTCTTGAGAAGTTATCTTTGTCAAATTAGCAGGGATAAGTTGCCTGATATTGGGTCTGAGTATGAAGGGTAAGAATATTTCAGTGAATGACCTAAGCAACCTAATATTTGTTTTACTTGATTCTTTATTTGTCTTTTCTGTGTCAAAATTATTTTGAAATTTGTTTTGCTTGGTTAAATGATATCTGATAATTATCTCTGTAAGTGAGCTGTGAGCAGTACCTAGCAATGAGTAGACACCATGGAAAGGAAGGGGTAGATTAGAAGCTAGATGAAACATAGCAAAGGGTGTAAGAAATGAATAAGTCCATGAAGAAAATTGTTTTTTTTTCCTCAAAAATTCACCCTATCTTATTTATAATTTCTGAACAAGATATAGGCTAACTATATCTCATTTCAGATAAAGAGCCTCCTAGAAAAGAGGAACATCAATAGGTTCCTTAATCAAACTTCTTATTCATAGTAGATTACCACTTCCCTAGATATGATATATGCATCTATGACTTCAAAACATTTTCCTAATGTAATTCACTCTCTTTAATATAGAAATAAAAATGCCAAAAATAAGACTAAGATAATATACAACTGATATGATTTTGACATTCAAATCCTTTGAGTTGATTTGCATCTGTTCACTTTTGCTTCTTAGATTCCACCATAGAGGTCTCTTGGTTTAGACTTTAGAGTGGTACTCAAGGTTCTGAATACCTATTGCAGTAGTACATACTGATGGGTATTTGTCGGTCCGACTAGGTATTAGTATCAAAAAGTATAAACCAGTACCAATATATATAGTTTGTTTCTAATTTTTATTATTTTTTAAAAAACCCCAGGTAGTATAGGTTGGTATACTGTCAAGTATACTGATATTGTAGTGGTCTGATATATTACGAAAACTTGTATCAGACTGGCACTTAAATCCTTGGTGGTAGAGTTCTGATCTTCAATTCCTCTTGGCTTTATTTCCAATATGAATTTCATTGTAGGATACTTTTATGATGAAATTTCTTGAACCATAGAATTATTTTCGGTAACAAACTTTCTTGCATGAACTGAATTTCATCTAAATTATCTCTTCTGCCTGTTTTGTTCCTCTAGCTCTTTCATATGATTTAGAGCCACACTTCGAAAATGAAAGTTATAATTTGGTGGTTTGCTACTGGTCATGTTATTACTCATATTTGTTTTGATTTATATTGCCTTTTCTCAGGGATGCTGACACAGTTAATCATGCTATTGAATTTGTTATTCAAAACTTTACAGAGATGAATAAACTCTGGGTTCGAATGCATCATCAGGTTGGTTTTAAGTGATTGTCATATATATCAGTTGCTGTGGTCTATTTGTGCATGTATGATGCATGAACATATGCATGTCACAAACTTGCCATTTCGCTGTACCACGATAGCAGTTATGTCAAGCAGGTGTTTTAGTGATTGTTAATTTTTACTCTTAGGCGATCCTGAGTTAAGAGCAAGAATTTGACTTTCTGGTCTGCAGGGGCCAACCAGGGAAAAGGATAAACGAGAAAAGGAAAGGAGCCAACTTCGTGATCTTGTAAGATCAGTACCTTAAGTTGTTTTTTGTTCTACCAAGATAGTAGAAAATCCATCTCTTCCTTTGCATTTACTCTTTTTCTTTCTCATAGGTTGGCAAAAACCTTCATGTTCTCAGCCAGATTGAGGGTGTTGATCTTGATATATACAAAGAAACTGTTCTTCCCAGAGTGCTGGAACAGGTCAATCTTGTTAATAAGTTTTAAATAATACTTTAGCTTGCACATTTTAAATTTTCTTAAAATGAATTGGCTAACAGGTTGTCAATTGTAAAGATGAGCTAGCACAACACTATTTGATGGATTGTATTATCCAAGTGTTTCCAGATGAATATCACTTGCAAACTCTTGAAACATTGTTAGGTGCATTTCCCCAGCTTCAGGTAGGTAAAGTAATGGTTGCAAGTCTTAGTTATTTTCAATTTGAGGTATTTTTTTAGTTTTATTTCTTATATTATTGATATTGATTACTCTTTATACCTAACATAACTTTTTGATTTGGTATAAGCTAGTATGTGCATCTAAGTGAGCAAATTTTCTCTTAGCTGTAGGATTTTCTCTACTCTTAATCTTGACTTGTTATAAATGTTAATCTGTTTTTGGTTGAAAAATACCAAGGAAAAATCTTTTAAGACAAACCAGTGGTTAAGTTCATATTTCACTGAATTAAACTCTGTTTGCATGGGTAAGACTATATACATCGACTCTCCTCAGATTTTGCATTGGAAGAGCCTCATGAACTGCCATCTTTTTTAGGTCATTCATATTTCTTTCCTGTGTACTGTATGTGAGTTGGCAACAGAAAGATCTTCTTTGTAGCTTTCTTTCCCCTTCTCTTTTTGTATTGATTGACCTGGAGGAACTTTGAAGGTGAATCATGTTGCTGCAGTATGGTTTCCTCTTTGTTTGTAGGGGTAAGACTGTATATTGACCCTCCCAAACCATCCATTATTAGCAAGAACCTTTGTGTTAGGCTTGCCTCCTTTTTTTTTATTTTCATTCTTAGTTTGGAGGAACTTTGACAGTCATTATGTCAAGGCGCAATTGCCATAAAGAAGTATGGATGCTTTGGCAAAGGTCTTCGTTGATATTCTACTTGTAAGGTTACCTGCTTGGTTCTGTTGACCTCAATCTCCTTCCACATACTCTTCCTTTTTTTTTGTCTTGTAGATGACACCTGAACATGATGAACAACCTCCTAAATTAAACCACATCATTATCCTTTCTCATGCTTTATTTGCACATGTTCCTATTAAAATACAAAGATCAGACTTGTCAGTCCAGCAGACTCATCTGAGCGGTCTACGCTCAGCTCCTGTTCCATTATCATGCTTATCTGCCCTTACTTGGTCCTAATCACGTTAGGATGGCACTGAAGGAAGTCTCATCCAGTTCTAATCAAGTTAGGACCGCAGCTGCCTGTTATTGGAGCCCTAATTATTTTAGGACAGAAGGGAAGGAAGACCAATCTGGTCCTAATAGATTTCGGATAACATCAGCCCCTATAAAAAAAAGTCCAATCCAAATAACTTTACGATATCAGGGAAAAAGTAAGTACTGTCGTGCCATGGTACTGTAGCACTCCGATGCTGTGACAGTATATTATAAGTATTCAGTTATACACTATATATTATTCTTTTGAGAATTAAGCCTAAATTGAGTTGATTTAGGAGTATAGTATTTGGTTATGAAGCTAGTAGCCTATGAATGTAAGAACCGTAAGCCTCTTGAGCACTCCCTTTGGTGTTTATTTTGTAGCATTAAACGGTCTTTTTTCCTTAAATTTTGGTCTTGGAAGATACTCCTGTTACTTGAATTACAGAACTAATTAGAGAAGTACTGGTTAGAAGATGCAAACAGTTCAGGAGACGCATTGTAGTCTAGGGATCGGTATAGATTAATAATTTAAGCTTATTTGTTTTGTATAGAATAGTTTGTGCTGCAAGTTGACCTAGGTATCATTTTCTATATTTCCTCAAAGTGATAACTCCTCTGTATTATTTATAAGAGCTCGCTAGATCCTGTCTCCAATTCTGTGTACTTACTGTTTCTTATGGAGATATTATTATATTATTGTTTTTTCTTGGCAGATTAGCTCCTACTAATATTTGATTTGATAATGGAGACTGATTAAATTTCTTTCTCATTCTTTATTCAGCCAACTGTTGATATTAAAACAGTTCTATCTCAACTCATGGACAGACTATCAAATTATGCTGCTTCCAGTATAGAAGTGAGTTTCGTGACACGGTTCATGGTTGCATTTCACACGTGCACACACAAAACAATGAATCTTACTCATAGATAGTGCTGCAGGTATTACCAGAATTCTTGCAAGTAGAAGCTTTTTCCAAACTCAGCAATGCGATAGGAAAGGTAGTTTCTTATATAGCTCATGTATATCTCTTCTGAATTCTGATAATATCTTGCTGCCTAAGTATAGTTATGTAATGCATTCATGGCACCTTTTAAGTTCTTGTGCTTTTCTGTATGTATCTATATCAATTAGGACTGAGTCTATAAAATTGTTGTAAGATGTGAAACCTATTTGGTTTCAGGTATCTCACTTCTCGGTTGACTTTGTTGTACTGAATTATATTATTGTTCCAACATTCTAAAAACTTCACCTGGTTGCATCTTGCCATATTACATTTTAGTAGCTCAGGTGGCAGTAGTTATATTTGGAGTCTGGGGCACTGGGTCATGTCAATGGAATCAAGCATTTGGAGCTTCCTATTAGTATTACCTAGTTGTGGATCATCTGAAATAATTATCATTCAGTCACTGATACAGGATGGTGGCAGTTTTCTTTGGTTCATCAAGATCTTTCAATCCTGAAACGTGATTAGAACTTAGAAGATATTGAAGTTTGAAGGTGAATCAAAGTTTGAAAGAGCTACAACAATTAAAACATTATTATATTGGATTTTAAAGTCACATGGAATTAATGTTGATGATAAAATGCTGCTCATACTGTGTGTTTGAACCTAGCGAGTATGGTGTCAAATTAAAAGTTAACAAAATAATGTTTCTCTTTCTTGCTGGCATAACATAGCCTATTCCAGGAGTCAATTTTGAATTTTGAGCCTTGAAACCTTAGAATTCACTTTTGACACATGCCTTTCTTCTTGTTCTCTAAAAGACAGAAAAAAGGGAATTACATGATGCTTCTTGCCTCAAGAACTCTTAATACATTGGTATCTAGTAATTGTCTTTGTTGCTTATCTTGACATTGTTAAGGCCTTAATGATGGATCAGATTACTGAAATGTCACTTGAGGATGCGTTTGGCTGCATCTGATACCTTGCTTCTTTAGTTGCTATCCTGGCTTCATTGTAGCACCACTAAATTTTTTGTTTGCAAATATTGGCATTTATAGCATTTTCATTGTGTGCAACCTTGATTACTTGCAATATGACCATTTGTAACTTAAAAGCTGTCTTGCTAAATGGTATTACTTGGTTCCCTTTTTCCTTCAATGGATCTATACGGCAATTGTTACATTCATGTAACTGAAGAAGGTAGCTTGCAGTGGAATATTAGATGTGTAGGTGTTATGAATTATGAAATACTTGTTATTTTCAGCAGAAGGAAAACCTTCTTTGTTCTTATTTCATTCTGATAATTCATGCCCAGCTATCATATTTCATCCTTTATGCGTCTAGTTGCTTCAATTATACATTAATATTCGTAAGTGTGAAAACAAGCAGTTGTTAGGCACTTGATTTAAATAAGTAGTTCAGTATTAGTCCCATCGTCAAGATTTTTTTAAAATTTTTTTTACGAAGTGATATATGATTGCATGATCATGATTTGGAGATCTAGAATTACGTTATCAATAATGTGCCTTTTGTAGCCATCCCAGCTCAAATTTTTTCCTGTGATATTTGTTGCAGTGGCAATGCCTGGCTTAGTTCATATTCATGTAGATTTCCTACCAGATACAAACAATTTTTTTGGGTGAAAATATAATACTTGGAATTTTTGTGATTATAGACCGGTATCATAGCTAATTAACTTATGGGAATATAAATTATTATAAGACAATTCTTGATTTTATTCTTTTACACAGACCAAAAAGAATATATGCTGCTTTTGCTGTGGTTGACTATTATCACACTTCTAGGCCATTTTAATCTTTTGTTAGTGTATGTCACAGTTGCTGGTTAATTGATGATGGTTTTGGTGTCACATTGGTTTGATAAGACTAGTGATTATGTGCAACAAGTCTGTGTTCTGATTATGTATATCAAGATTCTCAGCTGTTCTATATTTATAGGTAATAGAAGCACAGGTTGACATGCCTGTTGTTGGAGCAATCACTCTCTATGTGTCCCTTCTCACATTTACTCTCCGTGTGCATCCTGACCGGCTTGACTATGTGGATCAAGTACTGGTATGAGCTAATCATTTTGGCTGTAATTTCTGATGTTCATGTTTTATCATAATAAATAGGACACAAGCCATGCCTTTCTTGTCTGATATATAATGACTTTGGGGAGTTCCTTTTGCATTTATGAAATAAAATGAACATCAGTCTCTATCAAATGTTGCATGTATGAAGTAGGCTAGAATTAAATTTCATTTGACACTTGGCCAATTAGAAAGCTATTTGGATCGAAATGTTTGTGAACAATATAGCAGCATATTTCTTACTTGCATTTGTCAACAGGGAGCATGCGTCAAGAAACTTTCAGGAAGAGCTAAACTCGAGGATAGCAGGGCAACTAAGCAAATTGTTGCACTTTTAAGTGCTCCTCTGGAAAAGTATAATGATATTGGTACAGCCTTAAAGCTTCCTAACTATCCCCGGGTCATGGACCACCTGGATAATGGGACTAATAAAGTCATGGCTGTAGTTATTATCCAAAGCATCATGAAGAATACCACCTGCATATCAACTGCTGACAAAGTAGGCCTTCCCTTTTATTTGTGTTCTAGTTATAAATGGTCTTTGGACAAATTGTAAGATTTTTTGATACTTCTAGGTTGAGGCTTTATTTGAATTGATAAAAGGGCTTATAAGAGATATGGATGAAACTCAAGATGATGAGGTAAGCATCGGTTTCACCCTTTTCCAGTTAGTTATCTCTTATGCAGTCAAAAACTTACTATCCTTACTTTAAATGTATCTAGCTATGTCATCAGAGCAACCTGTAAAATAGACTGATTTTCTATTTTGTACACTTTTCTCTGTATATAGATTGATGAAGAGGATTTCAAGGAGGAACAAAATTCTGTTGCTCGTCTCATTCATATGTTGCATAACGATGACCCTGAGGAGATGTTGAAGGTAGATAATATGTTTCTTCCACATTTTATGAGTTACATGTATTAGAACTTTCTGTTTGGTCGTTTTTGAGAAAGGGTTGTCTTTGTCAGTAAGGGATAACTAAATCCTAATATATTATATACCTTATCAGTATCTTGAACTTAAAATGTTTCAAATATGATAAATATAGTGTGCATATTTTCACTTATAAGCATGAAATTTCTTCAGAGTCATTATGATATGGTACTTCTTTTCATTTAGATGATAGAGAATTAGAGATATTCATCTTAGCTAAAAAACAATATCTTACAAATGTGGATTCTCATATAAACCCTTTGAAAGATTTTTCCAAGGGAAGAAAAAAACTATTGCATCAAGATACTGCCTACTCTTGTGCTGTATATCCATTATCTTCATAGTACTTTCTCAATCATTCTCTGGTTCATTATCTTATCTATAAAATGTGACCAATTAAACGATTCATGGCAATTTAAAATAGGCTATTCTATTATGAAGTTAGAGACTTAGCCAAAGCATCTTATGAATAGAGATGTGACATTTAACTTTATTTTGTTGAATTGTTCACACCTTCATGTCGATTGCATATACAAGTTATACCAGCTAGTTTAATTACAACTACAATGATTTTCAGATCCTATGTACCGTAAGGAAGCATATTATTCTTGGAGGTCCCAAACGACTACCTTTTACTGTACCTCCCCTTGTCTTTTCCGCCCTTAAGGTTTGTGTTTAAAATCTTTTATCACTGTAAATTTTAAAGTTGCAGAGATCCTTTTTTTATAATTTTAAAACATCATTTATCATTTGACTTTTTTCTTTGTATATATTCTCATAGAGTATGCTTGATGTTATTGGGCATTTGTTGCTTTAATCTAACTGGTCATCACTGTACTGCACTAATGGTTGTATTGTCATGATAGAATCTTTGCATGATCGTTAGAGTAGACAATGACAACCAAGATAATGGTAAACAGTGCTTACTTACCTGTAAATTCTTCATATTATTAACATTTTAACATGGACATATTTCATGTCCTAAGATTGTTCAACAAGAAAAAACATCTTAAATTGATGAGCATGAACACATTTCTCTTTTTTTTGAGTTAGTAGTTTATGAAGAATGAACTGTGATGTAATCATAATGCGTATGCAATTGATGCTTCAAAATCTCAAATTTTTAGCTTATTCTAGTTCGTAAAGATGTTTTTGGGACTTTGAAGTATTTGTACTTTTTAATGTTGGGTTTGTTAGGAGAAGTTTTATCTTATTATAGGCTTTATCTTTTGATGATAAGATAAAGGTTTATCTTAGACAGTCTTAGTTGAGTTTGAATTTGGAGAAGATAAGATAGAGCCATTGTCTTATTTAATATTTATAGTAGTTTAGTTTTTACTATATAAATAAAACCTTCATAGGCACAAAGAACCATTGATGAATTCTATTATGTTTATGGCCTTAATATTTACTTTCTATGATGGATGTTTCCTCCAACTCATGGTATTAAATTTCGAATGGTATTGCCCGGTACAGGCGGTACGTACCAGTCCGATGGCATACCGGTACGCGAACCGCCCGTTACCGGACGGACCGTGCTACAATGCTATAGCGCTACACTGTAGCAGTGCTACAGTAAGAGGAAAAAATATTTAAAATCGCTCGGTAAGCCCTGGTATACCACTCGGTACACCCTGGTGGACCGCTCGGTACGCCAATACCGTACCATACCGAGTCAACCTCGAAACACCGGTACGGTACGGTATTGCATACCTTGCTCCAACTTATAGTCTTTTTCCAATCCACAGTCTTGTACCCCTCACTTTCGAGTCTTATTTCATTGATTTAGTCATCTTTTGCATTAGTATGTTATCTTATACAGGTTATGGATGCTATATCAAATTAGAGTGAGGATTAGCCCTACATTGCCACTTTATATAGCATCATTTGGTGTTCCTGCACTTTGAAAATCCTTGGGAAATATTCTATTTTCACATCCTACTGCCAATCTTATTCTTCCAATCCTAATATTTTATGTATTCAAGTGATTGCAACAAAGAGAGAAATCAACACACCAGAAAGTCAATCCAAGAGGATAAAAAACTTTTAGATAATGTTACTCCACCATGACCTTCAGGACTTAATTTGCTCTGCAGAAGCAAATTTATGCATCCCAATTGAGAAAGTTTTTGGTTTGAGTTTATATTCGATTTATAGGGACTTTGAAGTATAAGTTTTATATTATCATAGGCTTTGTCTTTTGATGATAAAATAAAATCTTTAGGAAGTTCTAGTTGAGTTTGAACTGGGGAAGATAATGTAGTCTTTTTACAATTAACATTTAACAGTAGCCTATAAATAAGGTTGATGTAATTCTCATAATGTACCTTGGGAGAAAGGATAAAAATCGTCGTTGAGTTGTATAGGGCATGCTGATATCTCTATGAAGTGGAAGGCACAGTTCGAAAATTGGCCTAGCCATATTCTGGGACCTGGAGCATGTCTTGGCATGGTACATCTTGATACATTTTGAATTGGCATAATCATCATGGCAATCTTTGACAAGTACAAGAGTAAGAAAAGAAGAAAGAAGGAAAAGGAAGGACTTCTTGTTCTCTATGTCAAGAGATCTTTCACAAATTTAGCTAAACAAGTCATGCTTTTATCGGAAACAATAACTAGAGGGGAACCATCTGACCATAGATTTCAAGTGAATATTCAGGTCTCTACAAAAATTTTTAATCACAACACACTTTTTATAAATAGTTATTCAGGCCCTATAGGATAATTGGATTCAGGATTATGGCTGTTAATTTCTTTGGATCCAGGCTGTCAACAACCTAAGTGAAAGTTTTATATAAGTTAAATTTAAAACCAATATGCAGTCTGGACCAGTCAAACAAGTTGGCTCTTTATGTCTGAACTCAAGACTTGAGTCAAGAATTAAAATAATCCAATATAACCAGACATATAGATGCATTGGACTTAATCTGGAGGTTCATCTAGGCTAAATTTTTTACCCTTCTTTTGGCATCAAAGTGGCAAGAAAAGCATCCTTAATAAGGGCTCGGTGATATGCATCTACAGTGTGGTTTGCCATGAGCAATCATATAATAAATGTAAATGTATAACCATAAAAGTCACTCCCTACTGTCTCCTTATACATACCTCTGCTTTTTGGTGTCTTCCAGATGATTGACAGGCATATAACATTCTGAGGGAGGACTTGTGTCTTAAAAAATCATGATGATTCCTTACATTAGTCACTATATAGGTCAGATTATCCAATCTATAGTTGATTGGTAGATTTCTAGTAATTAATTTGTGGACTAAAATAACCAGTTTCTGCATTTCTTACTATTGTGTGGCTTGGGTTTTTAGCCAGAGCATTATCATGCCAAGTTTACATGATTACCCAAAAGGTGCTATGTATAATCTCAAATTCCCTAAGTTGTTTGTTTGTATCAGTAGAATAAAGTGCACTTGGTTTCTTTCTTGAGTTTGCATCCACTATGTATTTGCTAAGTTAAACTGGCCTGAAGTTGCAAAAACGAAATTTCCTTTTACAAAAAACTTGGTGAATGTACTTCTAAGTTAAAAGGCAACTCACCCAGATGAAATTCTTTCACTTGTCATTATCACCACTGCCTATTTGAAGAACCAGCTCCCAATGACTATAATGATTTTTTCTACCAAGTAAAATTTGTCATTTAAATGATTTTCTCTACACCAGTTAATCTTTAATGAATTCATGTTGTTCTGCAGTTGGTTAGACATTTACAAGGGCAAGATGGAGATGTGATTGGTGAAGAAATCTCTGCAACACCAAAGAAAATCTTTCAAATTTTACATCAGGTTACTATTTCTCTGAGTTGCACATTATGAATAAATTGAAAACTAGTTATCTACTATTTTATTAGCACAGCTAGAATAAGCATATTCTGATTTGGTATAAAAGTTTACACATGAGAGATTATGATTTCTGGAAAAGCATCAGTTGCCGCTTCATAAGTTATCTTGTCCCTTGTTGATTATTTCAGTTTTCCAAGTGTCCTTTGTGTTTCCCTTAGTCTCATTGCTTTAATCTGTTTCAGACTATTGAGGCATTGTTATCTGTCCCTTCACCAGAGCTTGCTCTTAGATTATACTTACAGTGCGCAGAGGTTTGTAAACTTCTACAGTCCTGAAAGTTTTTGCCCCATTAAAAATTAGGTTTTCCTTGGTAACTGGTTTTCTTACCTCAGGCTGCCAATGATTGTGATCTTGAACCTGTTGCTTATGAATTCTTCACCCAAGCATTTATTTTATATGAAGAGGAGGTTGCGGTAAGTTATCTATATAGAAGACCTTGTGTTTGCAGGTCTTTTAATTGAATGGACTATGTTATATTTGGGAGAGCATATTTCGAAGTAATTGGTCTTTATCTTTTGTTAATCTTACGTTGATTATAATGTTTGTTTGAGCAGGACTCCAAAGCACAAGTGACTGCAATTCACTTAATTATAGGAACTCTTCAGCGGATGAATGTCTTTGGGGTTGAGAACAGAGACACACTAACACATAAGGCCACAGGGGTAAGCTTTCTCATCGTCACGAGTGTCTGTCTGCTACATACCTTTATGTGACTTGTTATGGAGTGAAGTTGTTAACCTGGCAAATGTTTTCCCTCTTGTGCAGTATTCTGCCAAACTTTTGAAGAAGCCTGATCAGTGCAGAGCTGTTTATGCATGTTCACATCTATTCTGGGTTGATGAGCAAGATGGCATTAAAGATGGAGAAAGGTACATATTATTTCTTTTGACCCATATATTTCTGTTGACTCCTAGCAGTTTGTTGTGGGGTATTGGACTCCACAATGTGGTAGTCAGTCTACTCTGTTGCCAAACTGTAGGTCCTCCTACTTGTTCCAGTACCTTAAATGCATTATGCCTTTACCGAAGCTATAGCTGTGCATTTCCCACCGGTGTTGGTCTTGAATGTTTTAGCCATGAGTTAGGTCAAGTAGATTGATTCTAGTTGGTGTAGGTTGAGCCTTAATGTTTTCTGGGCCTTTGAGATTTTCAGGAACTTCAATTGAATAATTTTGGATCAAATCAGTCTATCTGCCTTTTTTTTTAATAATAATTTTAGGTATTTGCAAACAAGTTTCATCCATATTTTTGATATGTTTAATTGAGTATATTTGGGTTGATTTGCAATTATTATTCTCTTAGTGAACTTAGAACAAGTTGGTCATGGTCATCTTCTTCTTCCTCTATCAAGTATTTCCTCCTATTTCTAACCAACCTCTTTCTTCCATGGTTACCACCTTTGTTTTGTTCTCTGCGCTTGTAGCCATATTTCTAATATTATAGAGAGATCAATTATGACTCGTCTATCTCTATGGGCCACAGGTTCTACATAAGAATCCGAGTGTTTTCGCAAGTATATTGTGTGTGCATGAGTTCATATTCATGTGTCTGTGCATGTCCTATTCATTCTTAACTAATCAGTCTTATCTTTATGAGGAAAAATAGTTCCAAAACCGACGAGCCTATACATCTTACAAAAACAATATTACTAGGAACCAGGGACGAAAATAATATTTTAATCCTCTTGCACTGATTTGTTCCAGGGTCCTCCTTTGCTTAAAGCGAGCCTTGAGAATTGCGAATGCTGCCCAACAAATGGCCAATGTGACAAGGGGCAGCAGTGGACCAGTCGTACTGTTCATCGAAATACTGAACAAGTAACATTGTCAAAGCAAATATCTAATCTAAGAATTAAATGATTGCTTTGCTTATTTTATTTTTTTCCTTGCAGGTACTTGTACTTCTTTGAGAAAGGGAACCCCCAGGTTACAAGTTCTGTGCTTCAAGGTTTGATTGAACTCATCAAAACTGAGATGCAAACTGATGGCTCATCAGATCCATCAGCTGATGCGTTCTTCGCCAGCACTCTGCGTTATATCCAGTTCCAGAAGCAGAAAGGTGGCGCTATGGGCGAAAAATATGATCCCATCAAAATTTGATGGCAGTGCATTCTCTGTGACAGCCTAATCAGGAGTGCTATGTAACCCCAAATTTTCATTTTAATTGTCAAGGTGGTAAATAGAGCATTGTATATGCGCCTTAGTTTGTAAGGTTTTAATCTCATGCATTCTTTGGTGGCCTCACTCGTGTATGCTTTTCATTTTCTATTATTTGTCAGTGTTGGATGATCGACGAAGTTTCCTACATGTCCACTTTGAAGTTTTGGATGGAATTGTGGTTAGACAACATTGGCGTATGTAATAATGTAATGTCTATACCTTAGATTTTGAATTAAAATTCGGATTTTTATTGTCTATCGAAGAAGGCGTCTGTGTTCATTATTTTTTGCATGCCACTGTCCAATTTGATTACCGAAATGATTCGATGGGAGACGAGAGATGTACTTGCTCATGGAATTTCTTCCGACCTTTTTCTTGCTGTGATTGCACGTATGGAATTAGCTGTATTTGCTCCACGAAATGCTCGATGTCATTTCTCGAATCCCCAAATGCGGTGATTTGTTGTCGTCTTTGCTAGCACCCAAACTCCCAAGTCAACAAACCACCTTCCTTTATATCCACATTTATTCCCACCTTCATTGTACCGTCACTCACTTCCCCTGTATCACCCACATGTCTCCCTTCTTCTTCCTCCTCCTCCTCTCGTTCGAGCTGGCCTGCAGCTACCGCCATCCCCTCGACCCCCTCACCCCTTCCGAGATCTCCATTGTCAGCAGCGTTATCAAGACCTCCCATTTTGGCTCGTCCAAATCGCTTTCCTTCCACTATGTCGGCCTGGACGAGCCCGACAAGCCCGACCTGCTTGAGTGGTCGTTGGGCCACCGCCGAAGCAAGGAGAAGGCACTGCCGCCACGGCGAGCGTTCGTGATCGCCCGGTCCGAGGGGAAGACCCACGAGATATACGTGGACATTGCCAGTCGCTCCGTCGTCTCCGACGAGGTCTACGAGGGATTCGGGTACCCCATGCTCACCTTCGAGGAGGAAGAGGCGGCCTCCGCCCTGCCCTTCAACTACCCGCCGTTCGTGGCGTCGGTCGCGAAAAGGAGACTGGCGCTGGAGGACGTGCTGTGCACGCCCTTGTCGGTGGGGTGGTTCGGGGAAGCGAAGCAGGGGAGGCGGCGGGTGAAGATAGCGTGCTACCTCACGGGGGACACGGTCAACTTCTACGCGCGGCCATTGGAGGGGGTGACGGTGGTGGTGGACTTGGACGCCCTGGCGATCGTGGAGTACGAGGACCGGGTGGTGGTGCCGGTGCCGGAGTCGGCAGGGACGGACTACCGAGCCGCAAAGCAGAGGCCGCCGTTCGGGCCGCAGACGAAGCCCGGCGCCGTCGTCCAGCCGGAAGGGAAGGGGTTCGAAGTAGATGGCCACATGATCAGGTCCGAATCCACTGAGCTCACCCGCTCTCCTTTCCTTTTGTCTTCTCTGTCATCTATGTTTGCTCTCTGTGCTTTGCATGTAATTAAACTTGCATTGACTCGGTCAACAATGTCGGCATCAACAATGCGCCAATAGGTTAAGATGCAGATCGCCATAAGTACACCTTCCGCATTAACTTCTGTACGTTAATGCACACTGACAACATCAAGAGCAGATCATGGCGCGACTTACCAAGTTGGTACGTATCTGCAGGTGGGCAAACTGGGAATTCCACTTGGGCTTCGACGTCCGAGCCGGGACAGTCATCTCCGTGGCTTCCGTGAAGGACTCCGAGGTGGGAACGCCGCGGCGAGTGCTCCACAGGGGCTTCGTGTCCGAGCTCTTCATACCGTACATGGATCCGTCGGAGGAGTGGTACTACAAGACCTTCTTCGACGCCGGCGAGAACGGCTTCGGGCTCTCGGCGGCCCCTCTGGAGCCCAACGCCGACTGCCCGGCCAACGCCGCGTTCATGGACGCCCACTTCGCCGGCCGAGACGGGGCGCCGGGCCGGATCCCGAACGCCCTCTGCGTCTTCGAGCGCTACGCGGGCGACGCCTCGTGGCGGCACACCGAGTTCGGGTTTCCCGGCCAAGTGGTGAGCTCATCTACGTCCGAGAACCATCTCAGGATCGATGCTTGCATACGAATGGAGTATTACTGTGTGCGTTGCGGCAGATAACGGAGGTGAGGCCGGACGTGAGCTTGGTGGTGCGAATGGTGTCCGCGGTCGGCAACTACGACTACGTGATAGACTGGGAATTCAAGACCAGCGGCTCCATCAAAATAGGGGTATGAGAAAGAAGAGATGAGAATAGAATCATACAACGCTAATCAGATGTGCCAGTGAATGTGTGTTGACCGGATGCCACTGTGCCACCGGACGCCTGCCTTAGTGGCGTTGACTACTTTTCGACATCATAGATTCTTCTACCTCTGACTTGGTCTCGACTTCACGTTGATGCATGCAGGTGTCACTGACAGGAATCCTGGAAGTCAAAGGCACGCGCTACACCCACGCAGACCAAATCGCCGGCGACGAGCACGGCACGCTGCTGGCTAGAAACACCATCGGCGTCTACCACGATCATTTCGTCACCTTCCACCTGGACCTCGACGTCGATGGACCCGCCAACTCCATCGTCAGGTCCAAGCTCAAGACCGTGAGGGTGACCGATGGCAGCTCGCGGAGGAGGAGCTACTGGACGGTGGCGAAGGAGACGGCCAAGACAGAGGCCGACGCCCGAGTGGAGCTCGGCGACGAGCCGGGCGAGCTGCTGGTGGTGAACCCGAGCAAGAGGACGAGGATGGGGAACCTCGTCGGGTACCGGGTGATCAGCCACGGCGCGACGGCGACCTCGCTGCTCTCCGACGATGACTACCCTCAGATCCGGGCGAGCTACAGCAAGAATCAGGTGTGGGTGACGGCTTACAACAAGTCGGAGAAGTGGGCGGCGGGGCTTTACACGGACGAGAGCAGGGGAGACGACAACTTGGCTGCATGGAGTCGGAGGTACGTGACCTGTTGCCAGAAAGCCACGAACATACGAGTTGCGTTTGGTCTCGTGATGGAGCCATGGCTGATACGATGGCGTGCTGCATGCAGGAATGCAGGGATCGAAGACACAGACATCGTGCTGTGGTACACTGCGGGCTTCCATCACGTGCCCTGTCAAGAAGACTTCCCGTTGATGCCACTGTTGAGCGGTGGCTTCGAGCTTCGTCCTGCCAACTTCTTCGAGAGCAATCCATTGATCAAGACTCGGCCTAATGGGCCGGTGCTTCTGCCCAATTGTTCCAGTAATCCCTAGAAGGATGAAGAGTGTCACGTACGAGCTGTCTCAAAAATTAAGATTTATCTGATACAGTGAACCGAAGGCTGTAATTGATCCTTTTGGGTCTAATTTTGTGCCATGAAAGTTCTTCTTCTTCTCCGTTGAGATGGAAGTCCGCCGGCAAGTGGATCTCAAATTGTATGCTTGTTTTCAGTCACTTCTTCTCTGGCCATAGTTTCGGATCCACCAAATTTAGATCTGGAAACTGTCTCATGATGATGTCCAATAATTATAAATGATTATTAGTATCAAGAAAGAATGATTATATGTACCATCAAATCATCAACGGGGGTGTGAAATCGTACATCGGATTTAGGTGACATGCTAAGCGGCCAACTTCGTGGAGCCATAAACGCCAATATTCATGCAACGCTTCACGGATGAGGAGGAGGTCATTGCTTTCATCACCTGCTGTTGTTATTATTAAGATCATCGAGCACAGGCAAGCGTGAATCTTGCAATGTGCTTAGCAATCCAAAAGGGAAGCGCACTCGAATGCCCTCTAATTGCATCATTTTGCTGCTCTTTCAAATAATTCATAAATGATTAATTTAAACTATTATTATATGTCTTCCAACTCATAAATCCTCAGTAATATAAGATTAATCGTTTCTCTATCTCCACATGAACTTGTCCATTCGACATACGTCTTGTCGTTTCGCATCCAACTCTGTCTGGGGAAACGACGTGTGGAATCATCGCGAAGCTGTACAGCCATATATA